GAAATAGTCATTATTATAGGAGACTAATTAATAGAGACTAAACCTAATTTTTAGAATTTTTGTCTGTCTGTCTGTGACCGCATCATGGCGAAAAACCAGTGGAGGGATTTTGATGAAAAATGATATGATAATAGCTGGTTATCCCTCCTCCATCCATCCTTTTTTTTTTGTTGTCGCTAGGGAAACCCATCATGGGGACCCTGCCGCCGTCATGGGCAGGGTACTGTGAGACTCCTACTCACTAAAACCCACAGCGGAACCCTTCGCCGCAGTGCAATGGGGCGTGCAGGATCGCTTTCGCACTCATTGCAACGCCCCTGTTCCTCCATCCATCCTGGGTCAACATATCTCATCTCCGAGAAATTTATTTAAAATGTCAAATATTCGCGTAAATCTAAGAAAGTATTAACATGGAATAAATCATATTTGATATACCACTTTTCTTTATTACATTTTCTTAGCTTATTTTGTACTAGGATTTAGAAAAATACATTATAAATAAAACAAACGTAATAATTATTAAATCTTTAATATAATTATATTTCAAAAACGTGAATTGTTCGTACGATATTTACACCCGTCCTTAAATAGTTCAGTCTAAAATAAATTTTCTATACAAATATCCACTAGGCACTTTAAAATATTCAGCTGGCACCATTACGATAAAACTTTACAATTACTCAAAATATTATTCATCATTAGTATTTTATTGGAAGAAATCTGACAGTTAAGATATACAGACTGTTATTTTAAATAATAAATCGGTTAAGTGCTAGTCGGATTCTCGCAATGGGGATTTTGTAGTTAATTATATATACCATAATAATATATTTGTCTTATGTAGGTATTTATATATGAAGAAAGGAGGAATATATATATGAAGTAAAATGTATAGATTTGTCATCGATCTTTACATAAAATTATAAAGAAAAAATAATTAAAAAGACCCCTAAACAAAGGCACCTTAATTAAACGTGCATAATGAAAAATAATTAATTTGACAATTTAGTAATTTAACTATTATATGAAATTTAAGTAATATTGATTATTAAAAATAAAAAAAAAACTATCGGTTTTTTATTCATAGCACGGTAACGGTAACAACTTTGTACTGACTTAATAAATGGGACAGCATTTTGTGATTTGCAAATTCTTGTTAAAAGCGATCTTAGTCACCGAATGTTTTTTTGTATTTTGCTATATTTTTCAGTTTTTACTATAAAGTTAAAAAAAAATTGTACAGCAACATTGGGATAGCTCCATCTATGTTCTATATATGCAAAACAAAATAGCCCAAAGAATAGTCCAAATGGCGGCTGTACATTGTATACAATTTCTTTGCTTGATGGACTTTTTATCTATGTACATATGAGTATATGATGGAATACTAGTATTGTATCAATTAGTATATGCTTTTTTTTGTGTATAGCTAATATGTATATTTGAACATATAGTCTGTATATACAGATAAAATAAAAATAATTTTAAGTCAGAATTCTTCCTACAACAAAATTAAATTAATGAAATGGCAGTTAAGTTTAAGTTAAATTAGATATTTAAACAATATCTTATTACATTTACAATTAGTGTACATTTCACAACTATATAAAATTCCATTCAATTATGCAGATTTATTTAAAAAGACTAGTTACTGCCCAGCGGGCTAAAGTAGCAAACTTATCCTAAATATGGGTGCAAAAAATTTGGGGTTAACCCTTTGATATACAAAACATTCAAGATACACAAATAGCTCAAGTGTCCTCAAAAGATGCACATAATTCGAAATTGAATTGTGCTTTTTTCAAATCTCTTTTGTTCATAGCCATAGACTTATAGAGTGGACTGTTTCTTTGCCAGCCTTCAGCTAAAAATGGCGGGCAGGCGTGACAGAGACAAAACGAATGTGCGGCCAGAAGTCTTCAGTATTAATTGAAATACGATTAATGAAGGTAGATATTTATGACCATCTTGAATTCCATTATTTATACTAATATTATAAAGATTTTTTTGTTTGTTTGTACCGAATAAGCTCCGAAACTACTGAACCGATTTACATGAAGTTTAGTAAGAAGATAGTCTGAGACCCTGGGAAGGACATAGGATAGTTTTTATCCCGGAAATCATTTCTTAAGGGGGTAAAAATGGGGATAAAAATTTGTATGGGGAAGCAACCTAGGGACTAACCCAAGCAAAGCGAGGGTGAGTCGCTTATTTCTTGTTAATTAATCTCACTCGGAATAAAAGATAAGTTTTGGCCACACGTCGCTTTCTCTCTTTCTAGACTGTGGTCAATTTCACGAGAGTTTTGCTCAGTCCATTCTCTACGTCTATGGAAATGCTTTTCGGATGACAAAATTGAAACGCACGTTGTTTCGTTAAAAATTGCACTTTATGTGGTGTGCGTAAGTACGAATTTGTGTTTAGACAATTAGAACTTTCGATTTTTATTCTTCCTTTTACTTAGTGTCACATGTCGACGCCACTTTTTGAAGAGATAAGTTTAGGAAATGTGTATCTATGATTTTATATATCAATGTGTTAGTCACATCTTGAAATTAAAAACATTAAATTAATATCACCCTAAATTTTAAAACAAATATTGCTTTTTTAATATCGATTTTCTATTTTTTTTAATGTTACACACAGATTATTATTTTTCAGTTATAATTTTGGCACCATGTCGTGTTTTAATAAGAGTGGATACGATATTACATGAATTTTAGTCGTAATTTTAAGTACTATTTTCAATTTATCTTTTAAATAATAAGAACCAAAATACAAATAAAAAATTACAACAATAATAAACCTTAATAAATAAAAGGAAAAAATCATTTGCGAAGTTATACTTCTTTTGGCACGTTTGGAAAAAAATGGAGAGTAGAATTTTTACGATGCGCGCGCACATCGACAGCCAAATAGCGACATGATGAAGTTAGCTGCATTCCTTTTACAGGGACTTATGACATACGGGATGAAACCTATAGCTATTTTTGTTCTGTTACGCCAAAGAAGTATAACTTCTTACGTTCGTACATAAGTACACACACACATTTTTTTTCTTCATAATTTCCCAATTCCACGACACTTATGTTATAAATAGTCAGAAAATTACACGCATTTAATTTTCAAATATACCCAACTTATTTAAAAAATAGTAAACACTTCACCAAATTCTGTTCAGCAATTTCAACTGTTATATAATAATATGTACATACAAATATTTACATTAGCATAAATTATTAAGAAAGTTACGGTGGTATAATAACAGGTATACGGTACAACTTAGCCTATTTTATTATAGCATTTGCTCACTTATTGTTTAGTTTTTTAAGAGTTTGTGCAAGGAAATTTAATAAAAAAAAAAGAAAACAAAAATACATGAAAAAAATTGTAAGTATTAAATTAAAAGCCAATATAAAATTTTATATAATATAGGTACATTAACTTTAATTATTAAGTTATAAAGAAAATGATCAAAACGCCTCCTAAATATGAAATGAACGCAACACAAAGGATTGCGATTTACATGAGACCATAAAAAGTAAAAATTATTTTAAGACTTTTTATTGATAAAAAATAATTAGGATACTCCCATCGACTAAAATGTAACCCAAATACATATAATTAAATAAAGTTTCCAATAAAACATCGAGAAATCTAAACAAAAAAACTCAGTCAACGTCAATTACACTAATATTAGTTTCATCTAATAATATATTTTAGTGCTTATTTGTTCAAACCACCCCATACTTGTTGTACTTTATCGTAGGTAATTGTTTCTAATTTTAAAAGCAAAGCTATATTTGTAAGATTTATACACATCTACATATATATAAAATTCTGAGTCGAATCTGTACATTCAATATTATTTGGAAAATCTTATTGAAATAATGATTATTAACGATACAGAGACCGAATCTAGTTTTTAGAATTTTTGTCGGTCTGTCTGTAACCACAGCACGGAAAAACCACTGGAGGGATTTTGATGAAATTTGGTATGATGATAGCTGGTTATCCGGGTCAACATATAGGATACTTTTTACTTCGGGAAAATATCTCATCTCTGAAAAATATATACTAAACGTTAAAACATAAGTAGGGACGGAAAACGTAAGTCGCTAGTATAAATACATCTATATTTTATACAAATAGCATGACATTTAACAATCGAGAATTCTGTACAGTGTGTTTAACAGAGTCACTATTTCTTTTTATGGACAATGTATACGCTTTTACAACAGGATCCCAGAAAACGTTCAAAAGCTTCTATTGTGAAATTAAAAAAAATATGTTAAAGAATGTTTATGTGTTAAAGGTAATTTATTATACAATTAATGATTTTATAGAAGATAGCACGCCTTGGGAATGAAGTAATCGCCTCCAGGCTACTTCAAATTTATAGAAATATTGTAATTTATAATTTAACTTCATAAAAAAGATAATGAAATAATAATAGTCCCGCTGAGTTTCTTTCGCCAGTTCTTCTCAAGTCTGACGCTTCTTCTCTCCGAATTGGTAGTAGACTTATGACATTTAGTAAAAAATTATAATAATTTACTGCTGAATATGAATTTGAATTTGTAATAAAAACTCTTTCGGTAAATTGTATGTTTGAACAAATAAGTACTGTGACGAATTATAGTAAGAATATTAAGAAAATTGTAAAGTAATAATTTATATGTATATCCATAAGTATTTGGCCATATTATCCGCATATCTCAAATGCACTATAGAAAACCAATACCTTGGAAAAAACACCTCAATTCAATTAAATATCTTCTATTAAATGGCTTCAACGCATGCCAGTTGAGCAGAGATTAAAAAAAAGCACAGATTAAAAAAAACTTAGCCATATAAAATACTTTTAAGCTGTTGTCATATTAAAACTAATTTAACGAAACACTTTATTATCTGTATAGTCTCAGAAAAATAATAAAAAAAAGAAATTCACTATCAGTCCATTAACTGGGGTTAAACCCAGTTTTCTTCGAGAACTTTCATACAGCTGGTATATTATAAAAGGCAGATAACCGTTCAAAGAAGCCATTTTCTATACTTTCCCCATGCATATCGGTCCTAGGGTCCCTCACATCCTTGTCTAAACCCTTCAAATCTGTCAACGACACAGTATTAGTAACTATCGGTCCATCATAGTCTTTGGATTTTTCTATTTGTGTGTACACATGCATTTTTCCATCAGTATTCTCTCTGTAAACAAGACGACTTTCAATTTCAGCTTGACTTTTCGAAGGCCTTAGTTCTATATCTCTGTCATTTCGAACCAATTCATCTGTATAGCTATCTTTTTGCGTGTAAACCTCTTTAAACTTATACTGATCGTGCCTTTCCAACATATCGTAATCGTCAGTCATTTTAAAATCACGATTTTGTATCGTTACATTTGGTGCCTTTTTGGGCGACTTTTTGTGGGTCATTTTTGCTTGTTTCTTATCGAGCAAGCTCTTTAAGATTGGCACTCGACAACCCTCTTTTCTTTCCTCAGGCGGAGGCTTGTCTAGTTTACCTTCGTCTGTTTTGGGTTCGTTAGCTTTTCTTCTCTCTTCGTCTTTTGTTTCTTTAGTTAGTTTAGTTTTAGTCTTTTTCTGGTCGTCGACGATAACTCGCACTTTGTCGTGTATCAACATGTGGCGGCGCAGGTCGTACGTCACTCGGAACGATTTGTCACATTGTGTGCATTTGTATGGTTTGCTCCCTGAAAAATATTATTTGCAATATATAAGATATTTTTGTTACTTTAATACAAAGATGAAGTGTAATATTTGAAAAAAATATTTAGAAGATATTAAAATTAAGTTATCTAAAAAAACTAAAAGCGATTTGGTATTTCATTTTTTGGGAAAAGTTATTTTTTTAAGGGCCTTTTAATTTGATATCCAAGGTGGATCCATGGCAGGACACTTACGCATGTAAAGAGAGAGATAAAAACAAAGATAGAGAACAAAGAATCTGTGTGCCGCTGTTTAATGGCGCCGAAGCATGTAAAGACAGAGAGAATAGAGATAGAGGGGTATGAGGTGTTAGGTAGTGAGTAGAAAGAGAGAGGTGCCGAACATAGAAAGAGAAAAAAATTGATAACATAGACAACAGTGATAAAGAACAGATAGCGAGAAATAGAAAGGAAGAAAGAGAACTAACTAACAGGCTACTTCAACTTTATAGAAATATTGTAATTTATAATTTAACTTTATAAAAAAATATAATGAAATAATATTAGCCCCGCTGAGTTTCTTTCGCCAGTCCTTCTCAGCTCCGAGGCTTCTTCTTTCCAAACTGGTAGTAGATTCATGACGTTCAGTAAAAAAATGTAATAACTAAATGATGAATAAAATATTTTGAATTTGAGTAAGAGACTAGAGGAAAGAATACAAAGAGAGAGAGAGAGAGAGAGAGAGAGATAAGAGTGTGTGCAGGGCAGGTACCGGTGTGCGTGCGCATGTGGCTGAGGCGGTAGGAGGAGGCGCGGAAGGTCTTGGCGCAGTAGTCGCACTTGTAGTTGCGCTCGCCGGTGTGTATGCGGCGGTGCACGTTCAGCGAGTAGCGCCGCGCGAACTCCTTGCCGCAGAACTCGCACTTGTACTGCTTCTGTTACATACATACACACACATTTACTTATTACACACTAGCGACGCTCCGGTTCATCCCTAGGTACGTTTAACGGTTAGTATGGAATACATATACTATAAATTATAATAAAATTAACAATTACAAAATATATATAAAATAACAATTCATCTGGGCGAGTACTGTACTATTATAAGTTTCTATACTTATCGTATTAACGAATAAGTAAACATATATACCTGATCAGAATGTATGGATGCCTTGTGGTACTTGAGGTCGCTCCACTGTCGGAAGTCGCGGCCGCACTCGTCGCACTTGCACGGCCGGTCGCCGTTGTGCACCCGCTTGTGCACCTGACACATACAAACATATTATTATGTAGGATATAACCATATCAATACATGACATATAATCATATTAACACATGGGATTTAATCATATTAATACAAGGGATATAATCATATTAATGTACTTCTGTCCACCGATTCCACTGAGACTAGTCTCGTTGGATCTCTTCTTTTGTCTCTCTGTTCCTATCACTCTTATACTCCGGTGGGACGAGTACTCGACATGACCGGTGAAAGATCTGACACAAGACTCTACCTCGGCATGTATGTGAAAGGCTTTCCAATTCCAGATTATTATTGAGAATTTGTTGAGAGAAAAACTCATTAGCGACACTTGACCCGATCCGGGGCTCGAACCCAAGATCTCTGGCTTTGCTACACACATGATAGACGCTATACCAATAAGGCAAACAAAGACTTATATAAACATAATATAATCTATTGTTTTTTCTCTTTTTTAATATACTCTGTCATTCATTTTATAAGATTTTCTCTTCTCAAACTGTATTTCTATTATCTTTGTAACACTGTGAGATTACCAAATAAAGAAATAAATAAAATAAATAGATAACAATACCTTTTCAAATTACAACATTTACCTTTAAAGCACTGACAGTGTAAAACCTCTTCCCACACTCTTGACACACCTCCTGCTTCTCACTATGCATTAGCATATGGTACAAAAGACTATTTCTATGACTGAACATCCTGTCGCATTGCGTACATACGAAGGTCTTGGGTTTCTTCTTATCAGCTTTGGATTCGGTTCCTGGCTCATCTTTCACTCGAACCTCGTTATTCTCAGGTGGTGGGGGTTCTGTGAATGTCGGGTTCTCTTGGGGTTCCGGTTCGAAGATACGTTCGAGGCTTTCTTCTGTGAACAATGAGTTTATTATTAGTTTTCATTGGTGGCACAGAAAATCTTATAATTAACGTATTAATAATGAGCAGAATATTATTTTTACAAAATGTTATTTACTCATGGATTATATATGTAGGTTTGTTCTAAAAAATAGGGGAAACCTAGTTTTATTAAAGTTATAAAGAGAATACATAATTTACTACCAAAAAATATAAAGTTTAAGAAGATAATAATGTTAAAAATTAGTATTAGGCAATACATATAAAAGCACCTTATACATCTAATACATGTGTATGTGTGTGCGTGTATTTGTATATGCATGTCCATTTTCACATATTTGAACGTAACTTGGTACGCAGCTGGACTACGAGTACTGTTACTAAGAGTACCACATAGGCTGATTATTATGCACTAAGTCGCTACTTGTTCATACATTAGGGTAGGGAAAAAATGTCAATTTTTTTTCGCGCCTCATATGAAAATATTGAAAATATCATTTTAATTCATATTTTAAGAGTCCTTTAAAGATCAACTCAAAAACATTTTTTTTGAGTTTGCTCAAGAAATTTAAAAATTCTAAATATGGTCAAAATCTTTTTTTTTTTGCTGCGGTAAAATTTAGTACCTAAAAATAGTAATTTCATCAAAGGTACAACTAAAAATATTAATTTTAAATATCACTTAGAATATTTTTAAGTTCATTTAAATTTATATTTTTTAAGTTCATTGCTTTTACTGTTTTCTGGCGAATTTTTAAAAATCTTGAGTGACACCTAAAATAATTTTTTCCAGGTGATCTTCAAAAACATGTAAAACGAACATAATATTTTCATACGAGACACAAAATAAAATAATCGGTCTGTTTGCACCACCCCAATCTATAGTAATATCATAAAGAGGTAAAGTTTGTGAGTTTGTGACGTTGTACATATACGCTACCTTTCTGTTCGGGCGTGCGCTGCGGCGGCGGCGGCGGCGGCGCGGGCGGCGGGCAGGCGGCGCACAGCCCCGCGCCGCCGCACGCGCACAGCGCCGCCTCCGCGCCGTTGCGCAGGTACCTGCCAGGACAGATTACAATTAACCACATTGTACTCGTATACTATTAGATTTCGACATATAAAATTAATGACGCCGCACAAAGATATTAAGTGCACGCCTGTACCTGCGGCAAGTATGAATGAGTAGATTGTATACGTATACCAATACAGGTTGAAGTAACATATCAAACTGTAATAAAATATTTTACGCCGTTACACAGATAGAAAAAACCAAAACCATATATATTAGTAAACATTAGTTCAACATTCGCGAGCGACCGTTTCATTTAAAAAAAATCTCATATAGTCTCGTTTAATCCCGTTTGCCTCGCAAAAAGCGAACCCATTGGCAAACAGACCACTGTCGCACGTGCTCCTGGTGCACGTGTCCGTTCTCGACGGTGAGGTGCGGCAGCAGCGTGTGCTCGTACTCCGCGTCCGCCTCCGCGCCCTCCTCCACCGCCACGTGGATGCCCTCCATCAGGTCCTCCGGCTCGCTGAACTCGTTCATGTCGTCCAGCTGTGGGCGTTGAAATGTTATTCGCCTTAATAAATCATATTTCCAACATGATTATTAATACGGTGAAAGAAAACGTTGTGAAGAAACCTACATGTCGATGTCAACGATATCATGTACGAGTGAAGCAGATTCTAACCCCGACTCTCGCACTTCTGTTATTTTCATGTCATCATTATCAACATGATTACCACTTGTCTTACGGTGAAGGAAAACCTGCATGTCTGAGAGACATGTGAAGTCCGCCAACTCCCACTCGTATTGAAAGGAGGCCTACACCCAGCGGTGGGATATTGAAATGGTCTGAATACACATGGGCCTCTTTATAAATAAAACTATCTATTCGGGATTTTACGCAAATTTATTTTGATTTTTGGTTCCTGAAGTTTCGAATGCTTTACAGCAATCATGGTCACAAAAGACTCTCAGAGAGATAGTTTTATTTAAAATGTCAAATATTCGCGTAAATCTAAGAAAGTATTATGGGGGTCTCAATACAAAGAAATATTAGTTTCAATAAAAATCAATAGATGGCATGTATGATATAAGTTATTTATTTATTTTTTATTTATTGATAAAAAAAAACTATAAAAGGTATATTATATGTATAATATATATAAATAATAATCATTAAAATCGATTGACAATACATGAAAAAGTCGCGAGAGTATATCCTTTTTTTAAAAGTCGGACAAATGATATAAAACTTACCTTTGGATGAGAATGTGCTTCATTCATATGTGCCTCATATTGCTTCTGCTTCCTGAACGTCTTATTACACTTCGCACAGAAGTACATTTCTAACTTATCCAAATCCACTCTGTATATATCACTTTTATCAGTCTCCGGCTCCTTGTCTATATTTTGATATACTTTATTGTTATAATTTAAGGTTTTATCACTGGAGGTATAGAGTATGTGCTTGTCTATGGGCTGGTACATTGTCTTTGGTACAGTATTTTCTAAAGATAGCTCAACTATTGAGTCGGGTAGTGTTGGGACGTTGTCCACAATACATGTATTGGTCATCTGAAAAATTTAAAAGTAAAGAGAATTTACAAAATAAAAGTAATATGGAATATGCGTGATTTTTTTACAAGTTTTATACAATAGCTAACATCGTTATATAATTATAAAAAATATCCACGTTCAAACGACTAAAATTTTGTATTTTTTTTTAAATATCATACAGATACGGATACTTAAAACACCCGCCATTTCACGCGCTTGGCGTTACGTCACAGTATCATACATAGAAAAATGACGGCTTTAGTTTGTAGCGACAAAATCGTTAATCGCTCTGTTATATAATACTTTGACGTAATATTCGGTCTGACCAATGGCGTGCGTTTCAACTACTTTGAATTTCACAACTATGTTTGCACTTTTTAATAATTATTTTCTAAACCAAAAAGAAATTACATTAAAAAATATTGATATAGGATTAGTTCAAAAGCGATAAAGATTATAAAAAAAATATTTCACCGTTACTTAAATCACCCGCATATTCTCTGTTAATAATCTAAAATGTTAGATTGTATCACACTTCAATGTATGGGAGTAAGGGACACATTATATGCCATTACGTTTCAATACATAAGACATTTGTCTTACGGTGAAGTACAACATCGTGACAAAACCTGCATGTCTGAGAGGACCTAGCAAGTTTTCGAAAGATATGCTCAGTCCGTCCGCATTTGTCTATGGCCTCATCCCCATCGTATTGAAAGGAGGCCCGTGCCCAGCAGTGGGACGTTAATATACTGAATACAAATAGCAAATAACAAGCGCGAGCCCCACCTTATCGATGGCGAGGTCGGGCACGGGGTTCTCGATGATGATGGCGGCGTGTGGCTCGTAGTGCTGGCGCAGGTGCTGGTAGAACTTGAGCTGCTCCTCGCCGTAGAACTCGCCGCACAGCTGGCAGATGAACAGCGCTCGCATCTGACAATAGTGTGCAAAAAAGTGTGTGTAACAAAGTATATATAAATAGGCATTTTTCGAAAATGATATAAAAATTGCCTTTTTACAGAAAATCCACCTATATAGATAAATTTATACAAGATGGCTTATTTAATATTGAGATAAAAAATGTAAAACTTCAGTATTACCTCATGGGCTATATGATGGGTTTCTTCTGGAAGGTGCTCCTGATGCTGTACCGCAGCTACGAAGTTGTCTGGTAGGATTTCTTCTTGCTGGACTTCTTCACTGCAGTTTATAACTACGATATCCTACAAAATATACGAATTTATCATAAAACTATTCCATCTTAATACTTTCTTAGATTCACGCGAATATTTGACATTTTTTGAAACGCCAGGAACCAAAGTTCTAAATAAATCCGCGAAAAAAATCCAAAAAAGTTTTATTTAATATTACATCGTTCGATCAACAATACTACTAGATAACGTGTCACATATAAAATCAAAGCTAAATTCTGTCCGCGCGAATATGCACTTATACAGCTACATTTGTATACTAACGAACCAAGACAAAGTCTTATAATAGTTTTATTTTCAACCCAATCGACACCATAGCACCTTGTAATAAAGTCACAAATCTTCAAATTATCATTATACACTTATGATCATTTCGTAAGTTTTATAATCTTTATTGTAAAATCAATCTTATATCAAGAAACTTAAAGCACTTATTCCCGTTGTTGCTTTGTGAGCTAAATCATTCTGTTTTTTTTCTGTTTGCTTCTTAGAATTTGCGCCTGTATTGGCCGACCTGGGCCAACGTTCTTAGCGGATTTAAAATTGTTCAAAATTTCATTTTTATATTATTTCGTAGGTTAAATCTTAAAATATTGAATTAATCTACATGTATTTACCGAAAATAACACACTCCATCTGGAAAATTTCTTCTTCGTGCACTATTTTTGCAACTTTTAAATACATATTGCGCCATTGTGAACGTGTTTACGCTTACAGTGTTTCAATAGAACTAATCGAAATATACGCTCACTTTACAAGTGAGATTATATTTACCGAGACGGGTTTCTTACGCCAACCCGATATCTAAAAAGTGTTTTATTGCAGAATAATACGCTTTTCTAAAACATACTTATAACATTCTGCAAAATAAACAAGAAATATAAAAAAAATATAACTTAACTCACCTGTTGAGGAGTACTGCTCCCATTGGTTCGCTTCAATTTTCTCGATATTCTCTTCTTATGTGGAAGACTTTTCTTACTTTGCTGTTTCTGTGCGGGAGACGCGCCCGCGCCGATATCTAGCACTTGGCTCTCTTGTTCTAAAATTTGAGTATCGTCCTGGAAATAATCAGGTTAGTATTGAAATTTGAAATTTTATTTATGTGTAAGTTTGTGTTTATCACGGTGAAACTACTGAACAGATTTAGATGAAATTTTATACACAGATACTGACTGTTAGGAACCTAGGAATTCATTTGAGCGAAGCGAGTTCAAGTCTTCATGTCAAGTTCTTCTTCTATAGTCTGACTTCACAGTTGAGCGAAGCCTACTTTATAACATTTTAAGTTTGTAGTGGTTTGCTGTGTGGAAAAACCGCCAAATCTTTTAATCTATTCGTCTTACTATCCATTTAATTGTCCATTACTCGAGAACACGAGATAATGCGGAGAGGCGACAAAAGTTTGGACAAACTTATTGTGGTGGGAAATGCCAAAGGCAAAAGATAGCGCGGTCGAGCTTCAACAAGATGAACCGACCAAATTTAAGACTCGTCATCGAAATTCTACACGGTGGTAAGAGACGCGCTGGACAGAAACCAGTGGAGGCAGATCATCCGCTCCAGATGCAATCCTTATGCTGACCACGATCCTCAGACATGAGGGATCGACCCCAGAGAGACGGAGAGACTCGAGAACATAGACAGGTTTCTAGAGGACTTTTAAATATTTTTGGTAATAATCTGATTTCAAAACAACTTTTGTTCTTATAAATAGCAACTTACCATTGCTTCGCTCGGGTGCATCCCTAAGTGTCTAACCGTAACCTATGTGAATTAAATCAGTCTGTCCAGCCATTAAATAAACATATGTAAAGGAGTAACAAACATATTATACTACTTAAATCATTACATATAAAGTTTTAAAGATTAAACAGCAGTCCAATTTTATTTTTAAATTTATTTTAAAATTGTAAATGTTATTTTATATTTAAGGATGTCACTAGTACAGGACACATGTAGCTATATAATGTATAACTAAAATCTTACCAATGTTTGTCCATTAAATAATCTCATTGGAGCGTCTAAAATTACCGACGTATCTACATCACTCCTTACAGCAGGTATCTGAAAATTAATTGTTTTCATTTTTTTTCTCAGAATATGACTAAATTCATTTCCTTTTCTATATTACAAAAAATCTATATTATAATATTTAGGTCAGACAAACTCCAAGCTGAGAAAATGTTAGATACTCAAAACAAAAGTTTATAATACGACAGATGCTATGTGTAATAATTATTACCTAAAAAAAACTAGAATACAACAAACACCCAAAAGAGAAATATTTACCTTATTATGAGTATGTGTCAGATGATGAGTGGACCTTGAGTGTTCTGCAAGATGCGCCACCAATGCTGCCAACCTACTTTCTTGGTCAAGCAGATCTTCCCAGGGTCCTTCAACCACTGATACTTGCCTATATAGCATAAATAACAAAATCAAACCAAAAGACAAAAAATTACCCATTACAAGTGATTTTTATTTTAATTAGGAGTAGTATGAGTAAGCTATAGATAATAAAATTTTCTATTACTTTTTTAAAACCAATTAACACAAGGAACATTTCACACAAAGTGGACAAGTAAAAGATGTTGCTATTTCTGATTTTCGTAATATTTAATTGTTATAGCTAAGAAATAGGTCCTCGACCAAGACAAAAAATATTTTTATAGGATAAAGCTTGGTTATGGTGTTAGCGAACTTTGAAATTTTGCATAAACAACAGGTAGGTGCTACTTCTTATTTATTTATTTAACGAATTACTGATTAATTGCACTTTTAGTTATAGGTAAATACAGCATGATTATTATTATTAAGGCTTATTAATATAACTGCTTCTATGCTCATTAATCTATTTCAATTCATAATAATTCATTTTAACTTTTCATAGGTGTATTAAAAAGTTAAAATGTAGTAAACAAAGCAGCAGAATTTGTACTCCATTTAATAAGTTTCCAGGCTTTATGCTATAAAAATATTTTGTTTCTTGGTTGAAGACATATATATACCTCTCCCTGTACCTGTATCTATATATAGCTATAACATAATCAAATATATTACTAAATATGTTAGTAAAATCGTAAACATCAATGTTTTCTACTTGTCTGCTTCACATTATATGCCTCACAAGTAAAGGAAAACCATTATATGAATATTTATCCTTAGTTTTTAAACATAATATTAAAGATTTATTATATTACATATAAGGACGATAAGCTTCTCATGCTCTTACCTGCACATTTGTGAAGGAAAGTTTTGTGGATGCATAACAGTGACCACTCTGCCGCCACCATCATCTTGAACGTTTAAAGCCAAAGAGTTTGCATCTACATGGACTGACTGAAATAAATATGAAATATTATGCATCCATATCCATACTTTATAATATGATACATGTGCAAGTGTGTTTGTCCTTCTTTCACATCCAGAGTCTCATCATACATATGTATATATATAATAAAAAGTCTATCTATTCCATATTAATCATTAAAACATACCCAGGGATGAACCCAAGCGAAGTGAGGGTGAGTCGTTAGTAAAATATAAAGACAATATTCTGATGTTATATGCTTGATAAAGAAGAAGAGAGCTATAGAATAATAGCTATAAATAATTAAACCATTTTAAACTCAAACTAAAAATTGTATTATTTAACTATGACATTCCTTATGCATAATGGAATGAAAAACAACTTTAGTTGAAGTATTGTAAGAATTTTTAATAATACACATTTAACAATTTATAATAATATTTAAGACTTTTTATTTATATAAGCAGAAAAATAATTATATGAGAAAATTTAATAGTACAGTAATAAAGACAAAAAAAAATGTTTACATAATAAAAACAATGATGTTTTATAATATTATATTGTTGATAAAAAGACAAATGTTTAAGGAACACCATATTAAAGTATGAATATTTGTAAAAGAACACAGATATATAAATATAACAAAAAACATAATAAGTTAAAATATTTATAGGATACTTACTTAAGATTTGGCAATTTAAACTTAAAATGAAATTTATAAGTAATATAGTACACCATATTCTAAAGTAGTTGTAAAAGTACCAACGAACGTAAAAGAAAACAACGAAAAAAAATACTGAAGCCATATTCGTTCACCTAATTACGTTCTAAATACATCCTGTGATATATCAGTCAATTAATTATTTCCATAAACGAAAACAATGTAAGATAGCATTTTAATACCTCTGGCGATTGATGTGAATTGATGTAATGTGTAACGGCCTCATCCATTTTATCTTCTAAAAGATGCGATTCCACATTCCTCATATTGAGAAATTCAACACGAATTGTTTAATTCATATTTCAGTAATTCTCAACTTGGTTAGGTTTTAACATGACAGCTGTTGCTTTGCTTATACTCAAGGTCATTAAATATTTCGACTTTTTTGTAACTAATTATCAATAAACTCTTATTATATTCCTAAAATCTAATTGAAATACTTTAAAGCGTTGGTAAAGGAAGTAATTAAAGTAAAAACTTTAACGATTACATTTTTAAGTAAGCATAAAATATCTACACAAAGCAATCAAGATAAAACACATATGGTAACATTGAAGGATAATAATAAATAATTTCATAATGTTGCATGTTGCTAGAACTAAAAAGTTTGTTTTTATATAAACTCCATTAAATTATACTAAAATTTAAAAAATAAAAAATAATTCCTTGTTATATGTAACTGTATGTATTTAAATTTATTAATATTATAATTTAGAATAGTATTGAAACATTCAAGCCATTTGAAGTTTATTTTTTAACCGACTCCAAAAAGGAGAATGTTCTCAATTCGTCGGATTTTTTTTCTTATGTATGTTCATCGATTACTCAAAGACGCCTGAACCGATTTGGAAAATTTTTGTTTTGTTTCAAAGGGTATACTTCCCAGGTGGTCCAAAATAAATTTTATCGAAATCGGTCAAGCGATTTTTTTAAAAAAATCAATTTCTTCGAAAATATCTGATTAGGCATCTATTTAAAATGAAAACCCCCGTTTAGTTATTTTTTCATTTTAGTGCCAGGAAGTCGGTTTTTATTATTTTTTTAAAAGTTTTTATTCAAGTTTCTGTTAAAAGTTGTAAAATATTTTTGCCACTAAAATTTGTACCATATCATTTCAGTTTCTACTTAGAAACTGAAATGATTCCATCCAATTATAGCAATAATTTTTCCTTTCCCAATGATTGTTAATCTAGCATTTAACTATTTGTCATAGACTCTATAATGTCTATGCTATTTGTTTACATATTTTTTGACAATTCAAGCTCATCGAAAGTGACAAACAGCTGATGCTTTTGACAATAAATAATTGTCAAATTAGGTCATACTTCGTAATTTTACGTAGCATGGCGTAATACGTAATTTAAATGTATTGATAATAAATTTATTTATAAATTGCGCTTGTGATTCTCGTGATTGAGATGTGCTTATTGCCACATTTTAACTAAAAAGGGCTTCTATAATCGCCTATAAGATGTTACGAAAGTCATTTAAACCATACATTGTACAATGTTACGAGGTTAGTATTTTACGTTGAAATATTGCTATTTCTGTATAATTGCCCATGCTATAATAAATATCAACCGTATACTTTATAAATAGTTGTTTTAAAACTACCCAAAAAATGTCAGTAATATGCAAGTTCCCTCAATTTTATTGATATATTGCATGGCATTAACAGAGTGATAATTATTAACAGCAATAATGGATATTAGATGCTATAATGTTTGGAAACTTTTGTTTTTGATAATGTAATCAAGATGACAATTTAGGCACATAATTTTTTTCATTAAAATAAGTATTAAAAATAAATTGTTAATATACATATAAAAATATACAAATTACAGATTCAAAGATGTGCATTTTCCAGCAAATTAGATACAATTCGAGAAAAACTAAGGGAAGGTCCAGGCTTATCTGATTTTATATCTGAAGATAGACCTAAGGATTGGAATGACTATGAAGGAAAATTAAAAAGGGAAAAGGGAGAGACAGAAAGATTAAGGCTTCCTCCTTGGTTGAAAACTTCAATACCAACAGGTGTGTTGAATTGTAGACATTATATAATTTATATAATATTAGTATCATAGATATGTGAATTAATTTGATATTCTTATTAAAAAAATATCATTAAAAAATTATAAACAATGAATTTATTTGTTGTACACATAAACTCACTTTACTATATTTAATTTTTATTAGGTTCCAAGTTTAGTGCCCTAAAAGAACAATTACGTAGTCTTAAGTTAAGCACAGTGTGTGAAGAAGCCAGGTGTCCAAATATTGGTGAATGTTGGAGTGGCGGGAAACATGGAACTTCTACTGCTACTATAATGGTATAAGTAAAATTGAACTTGTAAATATGAAAAAAAAATAACAAGTTTTGAAAAATATGAAAATAACATTCAATTACTCAAAATCACATTAAATTCTTTTATTTGCATGATTTATAAAAAATTTAATTATTAATATCCTTGGATGAACTGTGAAATAAGTGAAATGAAATAATGTTTTGTTTATCAAAATATTTTATACATAAAAAATATAATTATTCCAGTTAATGGGTGACACATGTACCAGAGGCTGTATGTTTTGTTCCGTGAAGACGTCAAGGAGTCCCCCACCCTTAGATCCAGATGAACCTCGCAACACAGCCAGAGCTATATATGAGTGGGGTCTCGGTTACATTGTCTTGACATCTGTTGATAGAGATGGTAATAGATTTAAATATTAATCGAGAAGAAATATTTTTTGGAAATTTATATAAGGATTGGGTAGTTAGTTCCCTTTAAGTCATGAAAATCAAAAGTTCACAATTTTAAATATTACATGCAAACTAAAAATTGTACTTTTGAATTGAGTTCTTTTTTATAACTTGAAGATGGTTAATAACAAAAAATATTATATTAATTCATCAAAATTAATCAAATAAGCCCAAACTCAAATACCGGTAGTTAATGCCAATAAAGAATTCAACCACTTGGTATCATCATTATATCTTTTCATCTGGATTTCATATACTTAAAAATAATAACATAAACTGATATCATAATAAAAATGATGTACTTTTGTCTTCAGATTTACCTGATGGAGGCTCTGTGCATATCGCTGAAACTGTTAGAGAAATTAAAAAACAGTGAGCATTTTTTTTGGTAGAAATTATTTAAAAATTTTAACTGGCTTGACTATTGAGTCAAAGTTCCCATATTCAATATTTGTACTGATATTGTCTAGTACTTAATAGAGGTAGCAATTCATTTATAGATCATAAATATTATATATTATTCTTTATTGCATATTAACAGAGTAACACAGATAATACAGAGAACAATGTGAGCAAAGGTGGACTTATCTCTAGAAGAGATCTCTTCCAGCCAACCTAAGGAAGTGAGAAATAGTGTTATATGACGGGACTAAAAGTGTGCAATTAATTTAAGATAAAATTATAAATAATTATACAATTAAATAAGATAAAAAAAACACATATAATGATAAATATAAAAAACTTACATATTATACATACTATATACACATATACATACATATATACATACATATATATATACATATTAAAGTCTAAATATAATCGTATGCATTTGGAATACTCAAAAATAGTAAATCAGATGATAAAATTAAGGACCAATTTGTGACAGAAGGTACTGTTTTAAATTTTTTTTAAAAGAAGTTATGGAGGGGCTTTTTTTGATGTATTTAGGGAGTTTGTTCCAGAGTAATGAGGCATATACTGAGAAAGAGTGCGAAAAAAAACGTGTCTTACTCTTTGGTATGTCGAGCATTGACATGACGCAAGACCGTCTGGAACGTGAGGGGATAGGGAGAAGTTGGATACGAGAACGAAGGTAGGGAGGAGAATTTGGGTCGTTAAGAATATTGAAGAGGAAGGAAAGGATGTGCATATCACGGCGAAGTCGGATTGGGAGCCATTTAAGTTGAGCACGAAAGTTTGATACATGGTCATGCTTGCGCAAGCCAAAAATAAAGCGAATAGCTAGATTCTGGAGACGCTCTAGTTTGTTAAGTTGCTCCTCAGCCACATCCAAATAGCACACATCAGCGTAGTCAAGTATGGGGAGGAGAAGGGTTTGAGCAAGCATAATCTTGGTACTAAATGGGAGAAAGAATTGGAGACGCTTGAGAGAGTGGAAAGAGTGATGCATTCGTTTGCTGACCTCGTTGACATGAGCTACCCAGGTCATGTTACAATCCATTATTAGGCCCAAGTTTTTCACTCTATCACAATAAGGGATTGGAACACCAGAAAACTGGACTTGAGGTATTGAAGTCCAGTCGATTTTGCACCTCAGTCTACTACTGCCAAATATGATGCACTGTGATTTGCTGGGATTCACAAGAAGGCCGAAAGACTCAGCCCATAATTGGACTTCAGCAAGGTCCGAGTTTAATGCACCAATAGCGTCATGCAACTCGGTCAGCTCAAAGTGTCGGTATATCTGTAAATCATCTGCATACAGATGGAAGGGAGAAGAAATGACTTTTGAAATGTTATTAATGAAGATGGAAAAGAGCAAAGGGGAAAGTACGCCGCCTTGAGGGACACCAGCAGTAAGATCTAACCAATCCGATAATGTATCGTTGATTTTCACGCACTGCTGACGTCCGAAGAGATAAGAATGAAACCAGTCTAGAACAGTAGGAGAAATGTTGACCGCACGAAGAGTTTCAATTAGGATGTCAAGATCAACAGAGTTGAAAGCACTGCTAAAATCAAGCAAGACCATCGCAGTGAGCATGGTGTTATCCATAGCACCACGAATATCCTCCGTGATATTCAGCAGGGCTCCCACCGTGCTGTGTGAAGAGCGGAAGCCGGACTGGTAAGGGCATAGGAGATTATGGTGAGACAGATAAGAGTAAAGTTGTTTATGAGCCAATGATTCTATGAGTTTCGATAGGATAGGAAGGATAGATATAGGGCGGTATTGGGAGAGACAGGTAGGATTCGAAGTTTTAGGCAGTGGAATGACGATGGCTTTCTTCCACACTGATGGGAAGACATTGCGTGTGAGTGAGAAATTAATGATGTGGGAGATCACAGGTGCAATATCCTCTAGTACGGGAAGAACCATATCAAGACTGATGTTGTCACTACCAATGGCTTTTGTTGAAATAGAGCGGACACACTTCTTTATATCATCTACTGAGACTGGTTTGAAGACGAATGGTGGTAGGTCAGGGGGGGCAAGATTGGATAAGAATGAAAGAGTAGCAGTTTTTATGTCAGAATTTAAAGTTATGGGTGGAGTGGTAAAATGATAATTTAAAGCATTAAGATCCACAGAACTTTGACAAGTTTCTGTGGTCTTGCCCACACCCAGTGACGATAGGAATCTCCAAACTTGCGCTTGACAGAGATCCTGAATCGTGGAATGAATATAGCGACGTTTGGCATCCCTACACATTCTGTTGCAGATGTTACGTAATTTTTTATAGGCGTCAAGGTTTTCAGTTGAAGGGTATTTTTTGTTCCTAGCTTTGGCCCTATCGCGCTTGGCCATGGTCCTCTTAATCACAGGCGATAACCATGGAGCGGGAGCATGCTTCATCCTTACTGGCCTAACCGGCGCATGCTTGTCGTACAGTTTAATCAGTTCAGCAGTTAAAGAGTCTACCATGGTATCGATGTTGTTCGCTGATAATATCGCTGACCAGTTGATGTTTTTAACATCCTCTCTCAAGCGTTCTAGATCCATATGCTTAAAATTGCGCTGAAGTATAACCTTGCCTCTAACCTTTGGAGGACGCACTTTATAAGCGAGATAAATTAAGTCGTGGTGTGAGAAAGGTGCAGTCATTTGACCATGCGAAACAGCAAGAGTAGGTTTAGAGACAGAGATTATATCTATGAGAGATGGACGACTGTTGGGAAAGTAATGAGTAGGGCTAGTCATGGGGAGTAAATGCATATTAAATGACGATGTAAGGTTGTGTAATGCTCGCGTCCGACAATCATTCTTTAATAGACATGTGTTCAGATCACCCATGAAAACAATATGTTCATAACTCGGTACCAGACTATCTAGAAGATCTTCTAAGTCGTCAAAGTAATTGACTTTGTCATTAGGACAGTACAAGACCCCTAAGAGAACTTTTTTGTGGTGTGTAGATAATTCTAAGAAAAGATATTCTAGATGACCAGTAGTAAGTGAGTTGGAACGAGCAACCACATGGGCAGGAATACCGCTACGAAGGTAAATACCTACGCCACCGCCACCTTGATCAGTGCGATCATTACGAAAAAGTTGATAACCTGGAAGCGAGCAACTAGTAGAAGGGAGTGAGGGCTTCAACCAGGTTTCAGAGATAAGAATGCAGTCGACTACGGCAGCACCAAAGGATGTGAGAAAATCGGTGTAATGAGCGAGTATGCTTTGCGCATTGATATGCACCATGGTAAGGGAATTGGTATTAGTGGCAAAAATATTCGACAGTTTTACTTCGAGTGTTTCAACATCTGAAAAAGAGGTATTAATACTATTTTCCGCACTTTCGGAAATGTCGGAAGAACAAGAGAAATATTCCTCATCCATATTAAAATAAAAAAAAATATATGATATACGTAGAAAAAAAAATAATAATAAAATATATATAAATATAGATAAACAGTTATATAATAACTAAATAATGAACCAAAAAAAAAAAAATAACACTATGCTCAGGCATAAGTTGACTACAAGAATAATTTTTACTAACATAACAGTTTTCATTAACAAATGTTGAACGCAACCCAACAGAGTAACAATATTGCAAGAAATATTAACTATCTGTGCCGAGTTGTGACAACTGACTTATGACATTTGAAGTTGTGACTTGTGATCAACTGACAAAACAAGTAAATTTTAGAACTTGTACAATTTAAATAACAATTTTAAACGGTACTTAAACAGAAAGAAAAATATGTGTACCCTGCTTAACTGTTGGGGTTCTAAAGACTATAAACCGGCCAAATTAAAAAGATGTAAACAAAGAGATACCCGTGAATCAGTCATTTTTGCTATGTTGTGCAATGAGTTTTTTAAGTTCGGTTGAGGTGTTTATCTTCACTCGGGTCTTGTCTGGGAGAAGAACGATTACCACACCGTCAGCAGACCAGCACTTCTTCATGCCGAAGTGGTTGCGAGCGGCAACAAACACGTCCTGACGCGACTTGGTCAAAAATTCTGTCAAGGTTATTTTTGTACCTTTCAACGAAGTCTTAGCCCTCCATGCAGTTGTTCGAGTCTTCATATTAACAAAACGCACAAGAACAGGCCTACATGAATCCCTTTTGGCACCTAATCTGTGACAAGATTCAATAACATCAGGGTTTGCGTCTGGAAGTTTCAAATGGCTGGTTAATACTGACATGACCTTTTTCATCACGTCTTCGTCCTTATCCTCCTTAATACCATGGAAAAGAAGAGTTTTTCTCCGTGATTGTGTCTCCAAACGATCCAGGCCTTGGGCTACAAGCTCAACTTGGGATTTGAGTATGCCGAGTGATTTCCATACAAAGGTCTTAAATGTATAGAATTCGGCAGACAAGGCTTTTACTGTTGGGTTGGACGCAGAGGGACCGGGTTGCTGCAAGTTCTTCTCAAACTCCCCCATCCTGGTGGCGAACATTGAGGAGAGCTCTTCCATGCTCTTAAGAAGTTGATCAACAGGGGTATCCATGGTTAATTAGTGAAGAAAGTTTGTGTGAGAGTGAATAAATAGTCAACTTATGCACTGGTAATAAAAACTTTAAAACATATATTTAATATATATATTTTTTTAAAATATTTATAGTAGAGCAGTTAAATTCGCGTCTAAGCTCTTTCGTGTCTACCCGCCGAAAAAAACTATTATTCATCATAGCAAGATTATATGAATATTTTTATTTATGCTTAATTTTAACACTGGTATGTAATAACAATAATAAGCTGTTTATTATGAATCTGTGTACATTTTTATACTTATAAACTAAAACAATTTAATTTTCTATCTTCTAAAAGTCTGGATAGGCGGATGTCGTCTACCCATCTTGTTTTTGGAGGCCTCTTTGTTCTAGTTCCGTCACTTATATCACAGAGTGACTTGTTTTGATACCACAGAGTCACTTGTTGTTTACTCCATTTGTTACTTTTACATCTTAGCATATTGTGTCCAGTGTCCAGCCCTATCACTAATGCTCTTACGAGCCAGTATTTCAGTAACTTTAGTATTCAGCCCTTTTTGGCATCCCACTGCTGAGTACGGGGCACGGGCCTCTCTTTAACGCGTGGGGCATCAGGACATAGTCCACGCTGGCCAAGTGCGGGCGTATGAGTCCTTCGAAAACTTATTTCGAACTAGGTTTTCTCAAACATACAGGTTTCCTCACGATGTTTTCCTTCATCGTAAGACAAGTGGAAATTATGTTAGAAATGATTCACACATGAAAATATCAGTAGTACGAGACCCGGGACTTGAAACCACTTCACTTGAATTAGTCACTTTACTTCTTCTTATTTCTGAATGTCTGATTTGTCTGATTTTCCACTGGTATGTCCAATTTCATAATAAAAACCTTTCCATGCATTAAATATTTTTTGTTTCTTTTTCCAGGAATATAGAAATCTTAGTAGAATGTCTAGTTCCAGATTTTAGGGGTAATCGAGATTGTATAGAAACGATTGCGAACAGTGGATTAGACGTGTTCGCTCACAACGTAGAAACTGTTGAGAAACTAACACCCTTTGTACGAGATAAAAGAGCTGGGTATGTATTTTGTATAAATCTTTTATAATAGCAAAATCTTCTGTCTGTCTATGTATAGTTGTTGGAAGAAAATAAGCGAAGTAAATCTACCCTAAGAAATAATTAGCATTTTTTGTCGGATGTCAACACTTAATTTTATATATGCTGACTAATTACGATAAATTTTTTTCTATTGCTAAGATGACAGAGGGAGTGTTACCATATCTCATTATATGTACATATATTTAATATATTGGATTTGAATTAAATGTGAGAAGTTTTAAATAAAACGACCTTTTTGGATTTTCTCGCCAATTTATTTAGTTTTTTGGTTACCGTCGTTTCGAATGCTATAATCTAAAACCTTAGTCTCTCCCGTGACCTTAACCTAGACCGTGACCTTGATTTGAAACGTCGGGAACTAAAAATCAAAATAAATCGGAAAAGATAGTTGATTAAAATGTCAAATATTCTAAATTTAAGAAAGTATTATATGGGAAGGGTGTAAAGTGAAATTGAAAGATATATAATTCCACATTTTAAATATTTACAGTTACAGACAAACATTGAAAGTTCTAGAAACAGCCAAAGATATCAATCCAGATCTTATAACTAAAACATCCATCATGTTGGGCTTGGGAGAAACTGACGAACAGGTGGAACAAACAATGAGAGGTAATAAAATTAGATTCGGGTATAAACTACATAATCGTTTAACGATTAAAATAATCTTGTATACATTTTATGTAGGTATGTTTGTCACTATACAAAAGTTAAGATATGATAAAATGCGCTATAGTGGAGTTTCAAAGAATTTTCTGTTAAAATTATAAGTTAATCACAATATGTATGTCTGTATGTATGTCTCTATGTATATTTGTATCCATGTATGTATATATTATGTATGTTTGTACATATTCAGACTTATTTAACAGTCCACTGCTGGGCACGAGTCTCCCTTTAATACAAGAGGGGTCAGGCTATAGATGGCCTATGTAGATTTACAGATGGACTGGGTATATTAATCACAATATATTTAAAATTGTTGGATTAGTGCAGAGTACAGACTAAGAGAATAAAAAAAATATCCGATAGGTGGCGCTGTGGTCGTGTTATCAATTTATTTGTTCTGAACGGCAAATCATACATCGAGGTTCATTCGGGTTGCAGTTGCAAGATTTGACCTGACCAAACAAACATTGTAAGTTAAATAAAAGCTTGTAAAATACTGAATTCAATACAAAATTATTGTTTTCCAGATCTGAAATCAGTCGGTGTAGACTGTCTTACTCTAGGCCAGTACATGCAGCCAACAAAACGACATCTCAAAGTGCACGAATACGTCACTCCAGCCAAGTTTAAGGAGTGGGAAGATTTGGGCAATGAAATGGGCTTTTTGTACACAGCCAGCGGACCACTAGTCAGGTCCTCGTACAGAGCCGGAGAGTTCTTCATATCTAGCCTTCTGAAGGATCGGAAAGCGAAGAGTCTATGAACAAATAAATGGAAGTGACTATTCGTCTGATCTATGGTTGTGTGGGAATGTTTCCCGTGGCTGATCCGTGGATCGATTAATTTTAGTTTAAGCTTTCAGATTCACGGGAAAAAGCAAAAATATGAACGCAAGATAACAGAGAATTAATTCAAAACAGTAAATTACTAACAACAATAATACTCCAAAGTAAAAAAAAAACAGAATGATTATTTTATTTTAATTATTATCAATGTGTATATAACAAACTAGCGACTCACCCTCGCTTCGCTCAGGTTCGTCCCTGAAAAGTAGCCTGTGTCCTTCCCAGGGTCTCAAACTATCTTCTTACCAAATTTCATCTAAATCGGTTCAGTAGATCCAGAGATTAGCCCCTACAACATCACAAACTGACAAACTCACAATCTCACAAACTTTACCTCTTTATTATATATTAGTATAGATATCACATATTTGTTTTTGATAACTTATTTATAGGTAAATGTAAAAATTCTGAGAAGTACGGGAAGTTTTCCCATGGATCTGAAAACTTGAACTAAGTTTAATCGATCTACAGGTCAGTTACGGGAAAGCTTCCCGTAGATGGGGGAATAGTCGTAGCCTAAATGAATATGTTAATAGTTTTGTTTTATGCCATTGTTTTTCTAAGGCTAAATCCGATACGGGTTAGTTTGTACAAATTTAGGGTCTGGCCGGCATTTTTGGAAAATTGCGTAGTGGTAATTATTTAAAAGTTTTTTTAAAATCTCTTAATGACATTCTTAATTTTTCTAAAATTTATGTGGTTTTATGACATAAATTATTATTTGACATATATATTTTTTATCTGGACAGTTAGTGGCGTTTTTAGTGCACTAATGCCATTTTAAAAAATTTTTTTTTTCTATATATATAATAGCTTTAGTTGTCTTAGTAACGAGTACAAAATTTAGATCTTCTGTGATTTTACCACATTTTAAAAGAATAAAACAATTTTAGTTCTAGGTATCTAGTGCAATAAATAATACTCAATAAGCTTAACCACGATCATTTATTTATAATTAAAATGTAATAAATTATATAAGTACTTGGGTTCTTCGTAGTTTTATTTAACTCTCATACTATATCTAATTAGAATATCAAGTGCGAGACGGTTTTTTGCACAGAGGGTTCCATATCGTCAAACAATATTTTTCAGTTATGTATTTACCAATTGGTCTTCTATTGAATATATATATATATATATATATATATATATATATATATATATATATAAAATCTGAGTCGAATCTGTACATTACATTAAATATTTTTTTAAAATCTTATTGAAATAGTTATTATTATCGACACAGACGCCGAATCTAAAGTTTTTAAGAATTTTTGTCAGTCTGTCTGAGAACGCATTACTTTTTTATTTATCTAGAAAAGCAAACTAACAACATACATAATAACATTTATATACATTTAGAAGACAATAAATTAATCAGATATGTATGTCTTTTCAAGTGTACATAACATTTGCTGTAATTACATAACCCAAAGTATAATTAATAAACACAGTTAAATTCAATAAAAATGATTCTTAACTAGTCTACAACTGTCAGCTATACTAATTAATTTAAAGAAAGTCAAATATATTTATTATGAGAAAACCACTGGACAGATTTTGATGAAATTTGGTATGGAGATAGCTAGTTATCCAGGTCAACATGTACTATACTGTCTACTGTGAGAAAAATCTTATCTCTGAGAAATATTACTAAGCTTTAACTTACAAATTACAATAAAGTTCGTAATCTGACAATGACTCAATTTACTTTACGGTTTAAAATTTAACTTTAAAGTTACAAAAAAATATTTTAACTTAAAACAACAGTATTAAATACAAATTTAAACTTTAATTTAGTGAAATTTTAAGTTTGTATTTAATACCGTTAAAATAAAATAAAAACAAACCTCTCACAAAATGGGGCTGCCCTTGAATTTTTACTCTGCTTGCTTATTGTTTCTGATAAAGTTAAGAACTAACTGAAAACAATGTGTGTTAACAAATAAATAATATTTATAATAAAAAGTCTTTAAATTAAAATTCTAATCTAAAACATTAATAAAGTAAGTGTAATTTGTGACTATGCTGATCATGTCATTCGTTTATTTCGACATGAAACGAGGACAGACAAACAAACACACTTTCACAATTTTAAAACTAAGTACACATGTAAAATATTCACGTAAATATAAGAAAGTATTAGAGTCCGAATCCATTTTATTTACCATCGGCCACTTTGGCGCATTCTCTATTTACGTCTGTCTCGCATCTCAGAGAGAACGACACATTGCTTTTCTTTAACCGCGCACGGATGCGTTTCTAGCGAGGAGAAACCAACATAACGCCCTGAATACTGAAGATGTACTAATTTAACTCGTGACTTGTATTTTGTCGGAGAACAATGTTTGGATAAGGCAATTTTAATGTAGAATATTTATTTTTTATGAGATAGGCATGGAAAAAAGCTTATACAAACTATTCATAGTAAAAAAATCCTATATTAAAAGTTCGTAATTAAAATTTTATTTTTTCTTGCATATAGAGTAAATACTTATTCTAATAAGCTGGAGACTACAATTTTTAGGTAATCATTGCTAAAATTAAAATCATTTAATATTGTAAGACTAATATTTTTTTACGTTATAAGTGAAATTACCGTTTATTATACTGGCAATACAAGATCAGTGAACTGCTATTTCTAGTCCCATTAAATAACTGGATGATTAAACATTCCATCAAAAATACTATTAGGTATTTATGCCAAAGATATGAAAAGTCCGTTATAATTTTGATGGAAAACCAATATGGTTAGAAAACTTTAATGACAACATTATTACATTTAAACTACTTCTCATACGACAAACAAAAAATATATAAATCTATAAGTATTGTCGTATCCAAATTTATTATAGTTCGTAGTTGAAGATGCACGTATGGTCAGCAAACGGCGTGTGTTAGTTCTTCGGGCGAGCTTTTTAAGCAACCGTGCGTGTTCGCGGGGTTCTTCAATATAGTATTCTATAACTATATACACATTAATTATATTAAGTACATAGAAAATTATATAAAGCTTTGTACTTATAAAGATATCTACAGGTCAGCTAAAAGCTGAAAGAACACTCAATGTATGAAAAGAATGACAATAATGGAAGAAGCTAAAACGTTATGTAAAGCTCGTAGCGCTTGACACTCTACGCTCTATATAACTACGCTTTTATATATTTACTAGCATTGCCCGCGGCTCCGCCCGCGTTCAGATGACCAAAAACCAAATTCTTAGGTTTTACATATTAGTACACTCTTACAATGCAGTTTTTATATTTTTTCTCAGAAATGAGATATTTTCCCGCGGTTAAAAGTATCCTAGGTGTTGATCCGGATAACCAGCTATAACCATACGAAATTTCATCAAAATCTCTCCAGTGGTTTTTCTGTGATGCGGTAACAGACAGACAGTCAGAGAAAAATTCTAAAAACTATAGATTCGGTCTCTATATCGATAATAATGATTATTTCAATAAGATTTTCCAAAAATATTTAATGTACAGATTCGGCTTAGTTACAATATTATTATATGTATAGAAGTACACAGGCTAAAGAAATATAAACGAGTATAGCTATAGACGGCGCCCGCCAAAAAAATGTCAAATTCAAAAATAGTAGCGTGATTTTCTGTTTATGGTACTATTCTGCATTTTGCCACCCAGGTCTTTAACTTTCTTCAAAGAAAAAGGGAATTTTTATATAGGTATTATTCGTTAATTTACTATTTACGAGAACAAAATATGAATTGTTATAAAAAATATGTTCGTATTTTTTAATTATAATTTTAAATATAAATTATTGCAAATACCATGGACGAATTATACCATGGACGAATTAGAGACAAATACATATGAAATTAAGTTTAAATATAATATTTGTAAATAAATCTGCGCTATGAGCAATGGTGCTTTCCGTAAGCTTCAACTGTCATCTAAATTGAATATTATGGAGCTACTTAATAAACTTACATATATTTATTTAAGTTTGATGTAAATTAATAAATAGTTTTATAATTGACACAAACAGTTAAGTATTAGTTAAACTTGCTTATAGGCTATAGGACTGAGAGCAAAAAAGTATCGACTTGTAAGTAACTATAGTATGTATATCTTACTAGTTTCTGCTCTTAATTCTTACAATATAATACTAATATTTTTATTACAAGAACTAAATAACACCAGCTTAACGGATTTAAATCAAATTCGAAATATGTTGGGACATTAATACACGGTACCATCTAGTTCCATGGTAAGCTACGAGGCTTGTGTTATGGATACCAGATAGTTGATACATTACACATGAGTATATAACTTTAAAATACATATATAATATTATAAATATAAACAACCATGACTGGAGTACAATCATTCGTGCTCATCACACAAATGAATACCCCCAGCGGGTCTCGAACCCGCGATCGCTACACTACAAACAGATATTCTAAATTAATGCAGGATTTTTATTAGCATATTTTAAACTCCTTTGTATATAATGAGAGGTATTTTAAAACCAGGCCAATATTGCAGAGCTCTTCGAACACAATCAAAAAAATTGTTACATCGTGGACTGGTAGCAGGTTGCTTGTTCCCACACGTCATCTAGTATGCTGGGGCGTCCTTTACATGTCCCTAGTCTTTACTATCGATCTCCTGAACCCATTACATACTGATCTACTCGTAATTGCTAAGGCTCTAGGGATTTTTTAATACATTATTTATGTTTATGATTTTAGCCATACAATTAACATAGAAACATTTAAAATATCTATAGTTACCTATATTATAAAGAGGTAGTTTGTGAGATTGTGACGTTTTAGGGGCTAATCTCTGGATCTACTGAACATTTTAGATGAAATTTGGTAAAAATATAGTTTGAGACCCTGGGAAGGATATAGGATACTTTTGACCCCGGAAATAATCCCTTAAGG